GGAATATTGGGAAGAAATTCCTCCCATTAAGCGTGGAGCGGCACTGGCACAGGTTCCCAGAGATGCTCTGGCCTCCCCATCCCTGGAGGTGTTCCAGGCCAGGCTGGATGGGGTTTGAAGCAGCCCACTCTAGTGGAAGGTGCCCTTCCTTGCAAAGGGTGAGATCAGGGAAAAACAACCACAAATATTTCCAAGGCTGAGGAGGAGGAGGATGAGCTCTGGTGAAGGGCTGGAATGGGCACCCAGCACCCCAACATCTGGTCTCCAATAACTTTTATTGCATCATCAGGGGTACTGTCAGTAAGAAATGTGGGCTCTGATGCTGATAGCCTGCTGCAAGCCTGTCGTGGTTTGGCACTGGCCAAACGCCAGGCACCTGCGAAAGCCATTCACTCACCTTCTCCTGCTCTCAGCTGGGCAGAGGAGAGTGAAACAAAAATTAACAAAGGGATCATGAGTTGAGATGAGGGCTGGGAGAAAAAAACACTCCAGGAATAGAAAAACAGGTTCAAACGTAATGGTATTGAGTAAATTTATTATGAACAGATTCAGAGGACAATAATGAGAAGTAATATAAAACTTTAGACCACCCTTTTTTTCCCCAGCCTCTTCCTCATCCCTGCAGGGACACAGAGTGAGGGGATTCTTCACCAGCATTGGAGTATTGCCAGCTAAACACTGTTTGCCTGGGAAAAACACAGGTTATCCATTAAACAAAGAGAGACTGCATATTCTGGTAGGAATTAAGCAACACATCAATATCATGACGTAAGAAATTGGGAGCACTTTGGGGAGCATCTATTAAAAAAATTGATATTATAGTGTATAAAAATGCCTGGAAATTGTTGTTTCTTTGGACGCATCTGTGGCAAATAAATTTCCAATATGTGCACAATTTTGACTGAAAATACTTATTAGTGTAACACACTTTTGCTGTTACACTTAAAATGTCTTGATTTCATAGGGGACAGAGCCATGGCTTGTGCTCCCTGGAGCAACCATGATCCCCAGTGCCCAGAGCTGGGCTGGCACCGACAGGATGGCCCAGGGGCTCAGCATTCCCCACCCCGAGTGCTCTGTGAGTGTCACAGCAGAGATCTCCCCTGGGATCTTTAATTTTTAATTTTGTGAGCCAGGTGCAAAGGTCTGTCTGCCTTCAGAAATTCTTCCTCTCCCCTGCCTTTAGCTGCTCCCTCAGCAGGCTCAGATGGTGCAGCAGCAAGGAGAGGAGGAGGCCGTGATCGTCAGCAGAGCCACCCCTTTCCAGGAGCAGGGTGACACCTGTGTTTGTCACCATGGGCTCCACGGGGCACCAACCCCCTCCCTGGGGCTTCCCTAAGGCCACCAGCCCCACCACACCCCACACCTTCTCTCCAGCCCCACCACATCCCACACCTTCCCACCACATCTTCCCAGCAGCTCCATCATGTCCCACCCCTCCCACACCACCCTCCCATCCCACTCCCCATGCAGCCCACCCACCTCCCGTCCTTCCCATCCCTCCCAGCCCCGGGCCTCAGGCTCCACTCCCTCCCCACGGGCTGCTCACCCCAGCCTGCCCCGGAAGGCTTTGGGGCCGTCTTTCTCTTGGAGATGCCCCTCCCCAGCTCCATCCCTGCTCTCCAGCCCCCCAACCTCCTTTGCACACAAACAAGAGGCACTACAGGGATGGCTCCACTGCTGTTCATTGGGCTGCAGAAGCATGGAATTGCCAGGAGGAGCACAAACACTGCTGGGGCTCCTGAGTGGGGCAGGAGAGGAGCGGGGCTGTCTGGAGGGGAAGGCAGCCTGGGGGGAATTTCTAGAGGATGTCAGAGGAGGCATGATGCCTTAGGATTTTAGCCTTTCTGTTTTTCATATCCTGTACTGCATTAGTGCATAACTCTAAACTCCATGGAAAGGGTTAGTTAACTGTCTGTACATTTTGGTCAGACAAAACAATCCCTCTAGGCCTGAAATTCAGGGACACTCTACTGCCTCAGGCCCAGAAAAGCATAGACAAAAGTGAATTGGGGAGGGCAAACTGGAGGGCAATAAATGACTTCATTACCTGAAGCTGTAATTGGAGGATTAACATCTGATTTGTAAATGGACCACACTTATATCTGTCTGAAAAACTCATGACCATTGTCCATTTTGGGTGCAGCCCCTCTTGGAGGCTTTGAGAGCCCAAGGTGAACCTTTTGAAGGCCTTTCATCAATGCCTCCTTTGATTCTCTTCACCTGCTCTGGCCTCTGTTCCAGGGAGCCAGCCCAAGGCATCAGGCAGACAGGGGCTGGAGGGGGCAGGAGGGCTCTGGGTGCCACCAATCCCAAATCTCCCACTGGACAGCAGCAGAGCCCAACAGGCCACACCTGCAGCCAGGGAGTGCCCAGGGACTGGGAACCCATCGGGATGGGATGGGCTGGGATGTGATACCAGAATCAGAGAGAATAAAGTTCCTAACACCAACCAGTGGTGCTAGCAAAGGAAACATTAGGAAGCAGGACATGCAGTAGGATCTCTCCTTATGTCTTTGTGTGTTGTGAGACTTTACAACAGTGTTTTTATCCATTATACCCATACATAGAGAATAAAATTTTTTCTTGTCTAGTACATAAACACCATTTTCCTAGAACTCATTTCCAGGCATCCACTTCCTGCTGAACAGCCTTTCATGTCCTGGGCTTCATTCAGAGGGGTCTATGGTGGTTGCATTCACTGAGTGCTGAGATGATAAAGGTGACCTTGCCTCTAACTTTTCCTTTGTCCATGTGCTCTTGCTTCTTCTAACAAAACTTACCCCAAAACTGCAGTGGACCTCCTTATCTGTTTCTGCACTGGCTCCAGCAGCATTTATCATCCTAGGTCCACATCTTCAAATTCATTTATCTCTCTCACCAGTTCATCTTGGAGCAATTCAGGGGAGAAGAAAATGTTAATTCTCTCTTATTTATCAATCCCCTGCACACCAGCCCAACCCTCCCACCCCTCAGTTTCCATCACCCTCCTCCCTTGCACATCTCACTCCTCCCCACTGAATCCTTCCCACTGCAGGGAGCTGCTGAGGAGCCACATGGTCCAGCCCTGGATTCTCCAAGCACTGACTGCCCATCCACTCTGACCACAGCCAGGAGCCACACCCCACTGCCTGCCCAGCGTCCATCCATGGAGGTGAGCACCATGTCCTGTGTTTTTATCTCACCAACTGACACACCTGGTCAGTGTGAGATCAATGTCTCCAGCATGGCCATGCACATTGTGATGCTGCACGTTGGCCTCTGTGGGCTGGCTGGGAACGGGGTGTTCCTCTGGCTCCTGCACATTAATGCCATCACTGACTTCATATTCTATCAGGCCATCACCGACTTCCTCTTCCTCATCTTCATGTTGCCCTCCACCCTGGTATTCCTTGTGGAGGAGGTTTCCTGCTCGGCTATAATGCCCTCAATGTATATGAGCTTGCTTTTCCAGCTGTCACTGTTCACCTACAATATAGGGCTGTACCGGCTGACATTCATCAGCATTGAGAGCTGCAGATCCATCCTCTGCCTGTTTTTTTGTGGTTTTCAACTTCCTGAGCACCTGCTGAGGGTGGTGATGAGTGTCTTGTACTGGGCCCTCCTCTTTGTTGTCATCGCCGTCAATCCCACGGTGACTTCCCTGTGCCAGTCACGCGAGCAGGAGCAATGTCGGGTGATTCTCACTTCCATGTACGCCCTCAGCCTCTTCCTATTTGCAGCACCCATGGTCATTTCCAGCACAATCCTCTTCATTCATCTCAAGCCTGGCTTACAGCAGCAGCCACTCAAGACGCTTGACATTGTTATCTTCCTTGTTGCACTCTTCAATCTGCCCCTCAGTCTCTGGAATTTACTGCAGCAGCTTGGTTACACCGTTGTGCCCTCCCAGATGGTTTTCTTGCTCACCAGCATCAACAGCAGCATCAAACCCTTCATCTGCTTCATGGTGGGGAGCTGGAAGAGAGACTGCTCCATGGGGAGCTGCTGGAGGCACTGCTCCATGGAGAGTTGCAGGAAGCACTCCTCCATCCAGTCCCTAAGGAAGGCAATCCACAGGGTGTTTGGGGACCCAGAAGAAAACACTGCCTGTGGAGATGAACCTTCTGTGGACACAGGGGTCTGAGTCCGTTGATCGCTTCCACTACACTGCTGAAGGACCCCGGGACAGCGGCTGAGAGATTCCTTGAGTCTCCTGATCAATAAATACCCACAGGATCACCCTCCCTGTGCTGCTGCATCCCCAGCCCCTTTCCTGGCTGCTCTAGGCTCTGATCCGTGCTTGTGAGGCCTCAGCCTTGAGGAGCAGCCCCGGGCTCAGCTCCTGTGGTGCTGATCACAAACACCCTCTGCTCCCAGCAACTGCTGCTGTCCAACCACCTCTCTCTGCTGTGTTAGTGCCTGAGACATCTGAATGGGGTGGGCCTGCAAGGAACTATCAGACATAAATAAGGTTAAATGCTGCTAAGTGATATTCCTCTGCTGAATTGCTAAGTTTAATGTATTACTGAAGTACTGTTAAGTTTGAGTGCTGTAAAGCTTTTAAGCCATTTTCCTTTTAATCCTTGTCCTCCCTGTCCTTTTGTCATACGCCCTTGAACACACACAAACACACAAATAGGGGTAGCACATTGGTTTGCTTAATATTAAACCTGGTTTTTACTGGTTTCCTTGCTGGTGATTTTGTGCCTTCAGAAATTCTTCCTCTGCCCTGGCTTTGGCCTCTCCCTCAGCAGGCTCAGATGGTGCAGCTCCAAGGGGAGGAGGAGTCCGTGCTTCTCAGCACTGTGTTCCCCTTCCAGGAGCAGGGTGACATCTGTGTTTGTCACCGTTGTCTCCATGGCACATCAACCCCCTCACTGTGGCTTCTCTGAGGTCTCTGAGCTGGGGGTGTTCTGGGGGTCTCTGAGCCTGGAGAAGAGAAGGCACCAGCGAGCCTTCACCTTGGTGCTACCTCACAGGTCCTCACCTCCCTCTCTTCTCTCACTAAAAGAAAAACTGCTGCCCTCTAGGTACAGTTGCCGATCTTTCCAAGATTCCGCAGTGCCAAAAGGTTGGTCGTGTCCAGGATCCCCTTTGGGAAATCGCTCGCCATGTTTTCACCGGCACCCACATGATCCTGCCACCACCACGCAGGCAGCAGCCGCTGCCACGGGTGCTGGTGCAATTCAGCACATTTCTTTATGTGGCGTGCTGAGAAGGAGTAGCTGCCACTGCTGCCCCTGCCCTTCTGCCACAGCACGGCTGGCTAGGGGCAGCCAGGCAGCCAGGCAGGCAGCCACAGGCCACACCAAGATGGCAGCGGCCACAGCAGAGTGGCCCCAGCAGCGGTGCCTCACCATCCCTGGTAACAACTCTGTGTGTGCTGCTTTGATTTTCTTCTTGCAAATGTCATCACAGAGGCATCACCAACCTCTCCAATTAGGCCAGCAGCATGTCCATCTTCAAAGCCATCAGAAACTGGCCCTGTCAGACATGGTGGAAGCTTCCAGCAGCTTCTCACAGGAGGCCCTTTCTGTGTCTCTCCCCTGCTACCAAAAAATCAGGCACTGCCAAATCAACACAAAGCAACTGTTTTTGGCCCTTCCCTTGGGCAGTGTGAGCCTGCATTTGAATAAAAAAATGGGAATTCTTGCCTCAGCTCTGTTTCCTTGGGCCCAGGGCAGGTTTTGGCAGTGATCCCGGTCCTCTTACCAGCAAGGGAGTTGTTTCTGAGAAGCAGCCTGATGCTCCAGCAGCACTGGCAGGGCTGACATCATTATGGTGCCACCAGCACTACCAGCATCCCTCAGCTGTTGGAGGGACCATGGCCCTTCATGGAAGAGAAATGAGAAATGGCAGAAACCTGTCAGGAGAGGGAAGGCAGTCAGAGAATGGGACATGGTCCAGGGAAGTAGAGTTTCAAATCAGGAATACAAGACAACCGATTCTATTCTTTGACTGGAGTTTGGACAAAACTCACTACCTCTGCAGGAAAAAAAAAAAAAAAAAAAAAAAAAAAAACAAAAGCAAAAAAAAACCACCAAAAACCAACCCAACCAATGGACGGGAAACTCTAATGCAGCCAAAGTTGCAATTTCTTTGTCTCCCATGACCCCATCAAATTGTTGGGAAACAACTGTGAGATAAGGCACAGAAAGAGCCACCAGGATGAGAATGCAGGGCTCCTGGTGCTCCAAAATGGCTCAATTCCATCTTTTATCCCATTCCAAAGCCTCTGGCTGCTCTGGGAGCAGGGCAGGTCCCTGTCTCATACCAGAGCCCTTCCTAAGGCAAGTGCCTGCAATACTTGGGATGATGTTGGCAGTGCCAAGAGCTCCTGATTCCTCCTGGGAGAGACCTGGCCAGCAGCCACATCTCTTGCTCAGGGGGAAGTTGTCCCTCCTTTTCCCTCTGCCTTAAATCCAGGGGAAAGCAACGTGCCACTGCTTCTGGAAAGGGAAGTGAGAGTGAAAGCCGTGTGTGGTGAGACAGGCTTTGGAGACACACATGAGGTTAAACAGCTAAGGAGCATTTATTAACAGATGTGTTAATAATTAACAGAAGAGACTTTGACATCTGAGAGGGGTTTTCTCTCCGTGACTCCTGATTTTCTGCCCACTGGACACCAGAAACTTTCCATGGTGCAACCTCTTGTCCAGGGAAGAACAACTCAGCCAGGGGGTTTCTCCCAAGGCAAGTGCAGAACGATCATGATCCTCCAATGTACTTTTTCTGCTTCCCAGCACATGTCTTGTCTCCAGTGTGATCCAAACCACTCCCTACTCGAGCTTCCTTTCAAAAGAGCAAGACTTCAGAGCAAAAGCTTTCCTGGCTGTCCCTGCCCATGGGACAGAAGAAGGAGAGATGGAATGAGATGATCTTTACTGTTCCTTCCAATTTGTCCTGGGATGACTTTATGAGCTGAATTGTGTCCCCATTCATCTGTTTAGCCCAGAAATAGGTTTTGCACATTTCAGACTGGTTCTTGAGCAAAGAGGGGCAGAGCAGATGCAGCAGTTTTTTTTTCCAGAAGCTGCGCTCACTCCTCCCCATTCCTGCTCCCAGACTGTGCTGCCAGCAGCACAGACATGCAGCACAGAGCTCTCCTTTGCTTTTAGGTTTTTTCAGCTAGCTGAGGCAGAGAAGTTCCCTGGACTGTGGTTTTCCTATGGCTTGGAACTGTTCAAACCTGCTCTGGACTGAAAACCAAGGAGAGCACTGGGAGCTCACATTTGTGGCCCACCAGGGCTTGGGACACGGCATTTTCCAGCACCAGAGGGACTGATAAGGGACTGAGTGAGCCAAACTGCACTCCACAACGAGGACTATTTGAATTTGCCAAGTCTTCAGAACAGCAAGAGATTTTATTGTTTAATACTGTTTCATTTGTTATGCTTGTGAATACTTTACTTGTTAAATAAACAGCTTTTTCCACTTTTCTCTAATTGAAACTTTTCCTGAACCAGATGTGGAGGGCCTGCTTGAATTTATTTACCAGGGGAAGCCCGTTCAGAGGCTCCCTCCCAAATTTACCCTAAACAAGTACACAACCAAAACCATTCCATGAGGATTCCAAATGCGACCCACAACAGCCCCAGGCGGGAGTTCCCCTGCTGCACACAGCACCAGCCTGACAGAGCTCCAGGAGCATTTGGACAATACTCTCAGGCACAGGCTGGGATTGTTGGCATGTCCTGTGCAGGGCCAGGAGCTCAACTCCATGGTGCTTGTAGCTCCCTTCCCACTCTGGATATTTAATTGTTCTATATTGTGATGACTCTGTTTCATGATTATTCCACATGATGATGGATCCCCTGTGTTTTCCATATGCCCTAGCTCTGGCACTAAAGCCTCAAAAGCCCTCAGGAAGGCAACACTACCAGAGGGGGTGAATTCCTTTGCACAGCTCCCAGCCAGGCAGTCAATCAGAGGGAGGGCACTGCCCTTGGCACAGGTGAGCAGGAGAGAGGTGCTGGGGGCAAAGACAGAGAAGGCAAATGCCCTCAGCGAGAGCCAGTGCACAAAATCAGCAGTGAAGAAGGGGAAGGAGATGACAGCAGCAGCAGGAGCAGGGCACAGAGCTTCCCTGGCAGCTGTTTCCATGAGCAGCACAGGAGCCTGGCCAGCAGGGCCAGAGCAGAACAGGGCAGGCTGAGCACTGAGAAG